AGCAAATTGCAGATTGGTCCAAGCATATGGTGGTAATTACAATAAATGGTTTTAAGTCATAATATAATAGAATTACGTGACTAGGAAAAACCATGTCATGATAGGATAAGCATATAGATCATTACCCTTTATGATACATGGGAAGATGTACCGAGTATTGAATTTAGAAATTTTTATACTGTTAGAATTGCATGATTAGGAAAAATCATGTTATTTTTTACATCTATTTATTTTCAATTTATAACTCAAGTTATTGAGTACTCACTTGTGAAACTTTATAGAAAGTTGTGAAATCACAAAGCAAGAAAGATTTCTGTATTTATATGCAAGAAGCAAGCCTTACAGCTATGATACAAAATCATTTGAATCAAAAGTCGCTAAGTAGAACATGATGTGGATGGGCATCTACAAGCACTAACCATTGATAGTATGAAAAGACTTCTTGAAGAAATGAAGAAGGAAGTATAAGAATACTTATATATGGAAGTGGACAATCTTTCAACTGAAAGAGTCAAGCAAAGAAATTATTCAAAAGAATATTACAGACTTGATTAAATGCAAAGTTTAGAAATATAGACTTGAATCCAAATATAAATGGTACCACTGGAAGTTTTAAGGAAGAATGGATTTTGAGTATACTATTTCAGAAAGGGATTGGAGGACATACTCTTAAAAAATTAATGTAATTGAAATGAATAGTAATCAAGTAACATGGAAAATGTAAAAACACTAAAGTGCTAAAAGTATAGCCAAGACAAAGCGGAATAAACAGAAAAAAGAATCAACCTATTTGGAGTTGTAACGAAAAGGTTAGTAAATAAAACAAGATGATATTCTTTTCTACTCAGCCAAAGAAACTGTAGACTAGGCAGTTATAGCAGTCACCGGCCATTATATGAAATAGCAGTTCTCACGGTGGTATATATATATATATATATATATATATATATATATATATATATATATATATATATATATATATATGTTATGGAAATGAGGGACAAGAATTGGAAAGTATAGGATTATTAGAATGATATAGTATTGTTAGAACAAACTTGTGAATTTCTAAACAAGTATATTTGTATCTATTAAATAAGATGTAAGGAAGGCGGGGACAAAGATACAAGGAAATGACAATGACAAGAGTAATAGCAAGTTGAGACCAACTATCAAACGTGAGTACATGTGGATTTTTTCCCTTTTGGGATATACGATATAAGTATAAGTAATTATTATAAACTTTTTTATAAATTTATAAAGTATTTGAGAAAAGTAATGTATTTCAATACTTTGAAATGGTATTTGATAACAAAAAGGTTGTAGACAAAACAAGATGGATTTTTGTTATTGAATTTTGAGGCCAATATGGAGGTTATAAGAAGGGAAACAAAGTCAAGACTTCATAAAACAAGATTAAAGGTAAAGGATCTTAAAATCTACGATTAGATTATGATAATGATGATGAAACTAAGTATGGTCATGAATTCTAACTTTCTGTTTGGATTTATTGTTAGTTTTAAGCTTGGAGTATGACGAATAAGCTTTATTAACATGCTTGATTGTAACAATAACATTATTCAAGCTTGAATAGTGATTTACGGAATTGAGCCAAGTACCTTACTTGAGAAAATTGTTTGCATATTGAAATTAGAGTTGGATAATGAAAACTCAATATTTACTTTATTTTATAATCATTAAATCATCTAGAATGAAGAATGAATCATGAAAAATGATGAAAGGAGAAATATAACATAAAACATAGGTTAGAAAATTGTTTGGAATGTTGTAATGGGATATAAATAGTGATGCTTATGTAAAATAGACATGGTATACATTGTTAATTTGTTATAAATTGTTACAATTTGTATTTGGTATTCAATCTAATGAATTGGGAAAGGGAGATTGATATATGGAAGTTAAACTTGAAGTATTGATTAAATTGGATTTGTGTTATTAGAATTAGCTTATTATGTGTGAAATTTAATGTGTAAATACCATTAGCTGATAGAATGTGCAATAATAAAATTGAAATATTGAAATAAGGGACAAGAATTGGAAAGTATGGAATTATTATAATGATATAGTATTATTGGAGCAAACTTGTGAATTCCTAAACAAGCATATTGTATTTATTGAATAGGATTGAAGGAAGACGTGGACAAAGGTACAAGGCAAGGACAATAACACAATTAGTAATTAATTGAGACTAACTACTAAATGTGAGTATACTTTCCATTTTTGGGATACATGTCATAAGTAGAAGTAATTGTTATAAACATTTTTATAAAGTTATAAAGTATTTGAGAAAAGTAAAGTATTTTGATAGTTTGGAATAGTATTTGATAAAGGTAAAGTATTTTGATACTTTTAGATAGTTTTGGTATAGAGTAAGTATTTTGCTACTCTTGAATAGTTTTAGTATAAAGTAAAGTATTTTGATACATTTAGATAGTATTTGATAAAAAGAAAGTACTTATACAATTGATTAATAGTTTATAAAATGAAAGTATTTTGATGCTCTTGAATAGTATTTTTGAAATTATAATTTGTTGATACTCTTGACCGTTATATTTGGAAATCTGAATATATTTTATGTTATTCTGATGTTATTTGTAGATCATATCGTCCATGCTTAGATGGAAGCTTTGTTTATGTCCCTTATGTTATGCAAGCTCTTCTGATTATAGCATCATTCATAGCATGACACGTTGTGCGATTAAAATTTGCATAAAAGATAATATTTACGGATAATATTTGCTCATGCATACTTTGGAATGTGATTGCATTTAGCTTGATATTTTGATCTAGACATATGATATTTGGGACCTTTAACGGGGTGGTACCACCCTTTGCAAGGTAGATATATATAGTATGATGTCATGATAGATTGATCTCCTCTCTATTAGTGAATAATGAGCATATCACAATTGTGATCAGACTCTTTGTATAATCTACAAGGCGCTACATAGGATCCAAAAGGCCCTACATAGGATCCAGAAGGCCCTTAAAAATGGAGCATGTTTTTTCTAGCTCTTATTTTGATAATCCTCCAAGTGGACTGAGTTTATGCAGCATGTGCTTCCAGCATAGTAGTTTGTGATTCAACCATTGCAGACCACATGTTACAATCAACAGAACTAAGTGGATCCCAAAATAGATTTTTGAAATTTTGTGACTTCGAAAATTATGACATGTATTTGAAATTTATGATAAAGTTATTTCGAAATAACTTTACATCATAAAATAATATTTTGAAAACCCGAAACCAGTTCGACACAACTTATTTCTAAAATTTATTTGAAAATTACAGGTCATTTCGAAGCATCTTTTTGTAAAGAATAACTTTCAAAATGAACATTCTTGAAATTCATAGTTCTGATATTTTTGTGAAAGGTTGTCATAGTGTAGGATATGTCGTGTTTTTACGGCCATTGATGTCGATATCTATTTTTTTATTATAGCATGATACTTGAAACAATTTAGCTATTATAGCAACAGCTTACCCATGCCCTAATAGTAAAATAACATGGATATTGATTCAATAAGACATGACAAATTAAGGTTCATGTGACATCTTATGTGGCCCTGGCATAGATCGCCAAAGGTTTCTTTAATGTAGTTTGCAAATAGTTGATTGTCCTTGAACTTTGAACTCTTTGGTTGGAGCAATCATACTACAATATAAGGATTGGTTTATGTGATTCGATGAAATTATTCATAGGTTGGTTTTGTTTTCCACAGAAGGAAAGTGATAGAGTGAAGTTGAGTTTAGAGAGAATAAAAGATGGGTGGTGTGACTCGTGTGAAAGAGATGATGGAGAGGGGGTGAAAATACGTGCAACGGGAATCAGGAAATCTTAGAATTTTGTTGCTATATCAAAATGATTTTCATCTTTGTATTGTTTTTAAACTCAAACTTTGATGCTTTACTATTTGTATAAAAAACTTTTGATCCAATAGAAACCCGACTTTGTATTTCATATTCCATAACGACAAAATAATCTCTTCATTGTTACAATTATAGCATAATGAATCCAGTTGTTGAATTGCGATTCACATCCAGTATGATAACCAGTATACACTTTGAATTTCTTAAGCTTCAAATTGCGACATTGAGTTAGGGTTTGTCAACGAAAGAAACGAAATCCGACAGCAAGCGATTAAAATCTATTTCTGTAAAAATGAGAGTAGGAACTGAAGTCCATAATTAAGGTTTATTTTGAAAATGTGGGTGTAACGACAAAGAACTTCAACACCATCATGCTTTGAAGATGTGGGGGAGATGATTATGATTTTGTTTTCGATATTAAATATTCAATATGAGTTACTTGATTTACTTTATAATTTTGACAGTTGAGTTGTCAACTTAGACGACAATACCAAAAGTTTTAGAAAACAACGAATAATATTATCCATTAAAAACTAATAATAATTAATTTGATATAAATATTTCTTATAAATTAATACTAAGAAATTCAAATTTACAAATTGGATACTTATAAATTAAATAATTTCAGACTAAAGATTTATATAGACAAATGACATTACAAGATCATAGATCTCTTCCTAAGTTAAATAATATTTTCTAATTCAACTGTGTAGTAGAACTATGTGCATAAAAGATCAAATAAACCAAACATAAAGGTCATGATGAATGATGAATTTAAGTTGGTATCAAACTTATGTAGAGCAAAAGCATAATATGACTCCCACTCCCACGTCTCATCTAAGTAGTTATACAATTTTTATCTATAATTTATTAATTTCTATCTAAGCAGTTATACAAATTTTATCTATAATTTATTAGTTTTCCATCCCTAAAAACATTTGCATCATAAAAAAAACCTTTCTCAAAGTTTTGCAAGTTGTCAACTTCTATCAAAAGAAATTCCAAAACTGCTATATTAACTTTACCTCTTGCCCTAGAAATTTTCATTCGATCGATTGCAGATATATACAACAGACACAGACACAGACACAATTGTATATATTACTAAAGCTTATTGTTTGCTCCGTACATGACAGCATACACTCGCAAAGGCTAAAAAGAAAATATGATATTGAATATAATACAAAACAATGGCTGACCTTTCCGTACTACCGCTGCAATATTCATAGAGGTTGCCACTGGAGGAGAAGACGACGACGGCGACGTCGACATCGCAGAGAACGGAAAGCTGTCGCGCTTTATTGTTCAACCCTAATCTCCGCTTTGAAAACGTCACTTGTCTGCTATTCTTGTTTTCGATTCGCTTCATCTCCAACTTTCTCCGCCCCATCCTTCAAACCTAACTTTTTTCAGTTCCGATGGCCACTTCAATATTATGCGATATATATCTCTATTCCTCAATCTCTCTCTCTATATATATTTTTTATTTCTTTTATATAAAAAACCATACTTTCTTTAACAGAAGGGTGCCTCGTCATTGATATTTGAAAGCATCGATAACCCTCCCTTGCACTTCTGTGTCTTGTAGGAAAAAAACAAAAAAAAAAAAAAAAAAAAAAAAAAAGGGTTTACGGGGGACTATTTTGTAGAGGGATCGAATCACGTATCACTTAATGCACATGTCGGATTTTTGACTTGACGGTAGTCCTTCTTAGTCTTAATCCTTTAATGTCAAAATTTACTATTTTTAGTTTACTTAGGTTTTTTTCTATGAAAAATAAGCATTTAAATTATTATCAATTTTAAATAAATTATAATTTTAAATAATTAAGTAATAAATCAAAATACCAACAACATATATTTGTATAACTAGGTGTGAGACTCATGTATTATATGAGTTTATTTAAAAGAAAAACTAAATCCAAAATTCTAAACATTTGAGAAGTTTGAATTTAAAAGAAAGTAAGAAAATATTGAATTAATAAAATTAAAATGTTTTTTTTTCTCTTTTAAATTTAAACAAATAATTTAGATAAAGAAATAAAGAAAATAAATGAATCTTTAATTTAATAATTTTGAAATTAGAAGGAAAGTTCATTAATGAAATTGATATTCATTTATTATTGCATTTAAATATTATTTGGAATTTAATAAAAGGAAAAAATCATAAAATGATATGTGGAATAAAAATTAATTTAAAATAACCACAAAATTACATATGGCAAAATAAATAAGAATGTGACATGTGGCAAAAATATTTTTTTAATTATTAGGGAGGATTTGATTTTGGACAATAAATTTGAGATAATCGTAAAAATGATTAGAATGGATACCTAATGAATTGATAAGAGATCTTGTTACTAAGACCCTTTTATAGACAAATAATGCTTATAAATTGGAGTTTGTACCCTTTTATAGAAACATTTGGACCAAATCTTTAAAATAATTTGAAAATTAGGTCAAAGTTGTAAAAAAAAAAAAAGAAAAAAAAGTCTGATTCTGGTCATGGATAGGCGGATATGAGGTTTTTGGGTATTTATAACCCAAATATCAACAGTCAACTGGTCAAAGCCAACGGTTAACGCATCGCGACCCAGTTTATGGTCGCGTCACGAGCACAAAAAGACAAAACAGTCACGGGCCAATTAGAATCTTTGCATCATGATTCCCCTTGAAGAACCCATTTTCTCATTAAGCACTTAATCTCTTCATATTAGGGCTTGGATCTTCATATCTGAATCTTTCTAATGACTTAATAGATAAAGTTTCCAATTTTATTAATTCTAAGGGCCAGATCAAACCAAATCTACAACCTCAACTTGATAAATCCATATAGGCTTATAATCTTGTGCATGGCTGAACAAGGATTCAAGCACATACATTTTTCTTCTTCCTAAAGATCAAAAGCATGTTCTCTTGCAAACTAAGGTTCTAGAGTTGCTCAAACTCCGAGAACATCAAACCAAAGTGACTACAAATGACCAAAAATCCAAGTAAAACCTAGATCGAAGCATGAACTCAAATAAAGCAAGAATGTCACACCTCCCCCCCCCCCCCCCGGCTGGCAGAAACGTTGGGTTGTACGACTTAATCATGGATCACAGTCATTTACATACACAAAACAATACAAAAATATAATCATAAAACATAAGTTCTATTAATCATAAAAGAGAAATTGTATCGTTTCCATTCTAAAGGTACATCATAATTCAAATACAGTGGATGCCTTAACAGTTAGGCATATATATAAGTAAAATATTGTGATAGATACACAAAATCCCATGAGTGTCCGAGTGTGTAACTTTTCGCTTCTTAAGTTCCTAAGAACACATGCAGTTTGATAGAACGTCAACATAAAGTTGGTGAGTTTCACTGGTTTGATTCAAAGTACTTTTATACCAAAAGGTTGTTTTTACCGTATATAACTGTTTTACCAGCTTATACAAAGTTGTACTTATTAAATGCATTCAAAGTGTTCTCAATGTTTACTACGAGTCCCTATAACCGAGCAATTTGACGAGTTGCTTCCCTCAGGACCCTATTGTTGTATGTCGTAAAAATGTTCCTCCCGACGCTTCATCGGACGGCGAGGATGTGTAGACTGTTATCACCCGATGCGACTATTCTTTTAAGGTTGTAGCTAGCAACCATAAGTGGGGTGTCAACCCGTATAGATCTATACATAACTCTCCCGCTCACATATGATTAATGCTTATAGCTTAGGGTCTTGCTAAGCGTTGCACTTAGTGATGAAATGCCTAGTATAAACCATCGAGTCAACAGATCTAAACGTGTGTGTACCTTAACTTTAAGTTTCAAAGTTACTAGGAAAAAGTGTGACAACATAACCACTGTAAATAGTTTATAACCCAAAAGTTCGATAGTATAACCACTATAAATGTTTATAGCCAAAAAGTTTGACCAATGCATAACTATAATATCAGATATGTAAACAGAGCTTCAAGAGTTGTACATATCGGTTTAAATAAACACAATTTTATAAAACATATATAATAATGGTTGACATCAATATAAGCAAATAATAACCATTTTACATCTATATGAAAGTAAATAACAGTTATAAGCAATTATTCTCCCACGGAAGCATTAAAAAATTTTAAAATGGGGTCGTGAATACTCACCCTTGAAAAACATATCATGCTTCCTAGGCTACAAGGCATCACATATCAGGTTAATCTATCATGCAATTCCTGAAAGTATCCCAAGCCTTATCCTACCATGCAAACATTCATATCATATAACATATCAACATGTATGGGTATTTTGAGAATCACTTACTTAAGCTCGGCTAATTGCACGAATCACGCCACCTTTTTCTTTACAAAAGTATTTTTAGAAATTTGTTTTATTTTAAAAGATTACCAATTCCTTAGTTTAAGTTCAGTCACACCCAGGAGTGTGCCCGAATCCCTCAAACCAAGGCCCTTATACCAACTTGAAGCATCCCATAAATTATAAGGTAAAAATTCATTTTTAATTCAACCAGAACCACCAATTATCCTTTTTCCAATCATTCAAAATTATTTCAGAATAAAAACAGTTATCATAGTACAATCCCAAAATCATATAATTGCGGAAACATGGGTGGATGCGTTGTGATTAAGTCGGACCCTTCCCCTTCGAACCGGAAGTACCTAAAACCATAACCATAAAACTGTAAGCACACAAAGCTTAATGAGTTCCCCGAAATACCACATACCATACATATCATTGGGCCTAGCCCACATGTAACATCCGGATTTCCAGGTATCCTAATTTAAGTATTTATTTTTGAGGGACTCGACGAGTTGACGCCTAAACTCGTCGAGTAGGATCGCGCCTGATGACTCGGATTAATGAAGGGACTTGACGAGTCGGCGAGTTGACTCGACGAGTTCGCGCTGTTGGCAGAAACCCTAAATCTTTGGGCCTGAGCCCTATTAAAGGCATTTATGGCCTTCAATTGCGGCTACCTTTCCAGAAGAGAGAACCCTAGCGAGTTTGAGTGTGTAGAGTGAGAGGAAGAGCTATCTTGAGCTTTTTGGTGTGATTTTGCAAAGGAGGAGAAGAGTTCCAGCAAGAAGGACCAGAGGAGGTTGTTGTTCTGAGTTAGTCAAGCAAGGAGCTTCATTCTGAGATACCAAATCGAACCCCTCTTCTTCCCTATTGTGTAGATTTCATTTTTGGGTTTAGGGCTTGAATCACTTCATTTTTGGGGACTTGAATGCATCAAATCCCTCTTCCTAGTTGTGTTATAGATCTGGACCTTTCTAGGTCCAGAGAGCCAAAAAGTATGAAGCTTTAGTCGAGTAATCATAGGGTTTTGAAGCTAGGAAGCATTAATGGGGTTTCTATGGTATATAATGCAAGATACACCATGCATGGACACCAAGTTCAGACCTTTACGTGACTTTTGGGTGTTAGAAGGTCAGGTCTATAAGTTAGAAAAACAGATCTGACCTCAGAAGGTCGTTTGAGCATTGTCATGGAGGAAACTCGCCGAGTCCATGAGAGAAATCGACGAGTCGGATCGGGTTGCCCAGCGATTCGTGATCAGTGGTAGCCCGTCGAGTGAAAGGTTAACTCGACGAGTCGAGTGAGGCCTTAGAAGGATTCAGAGGACACGCATGGACTCGCCGAGTCACCCGAGTGCACTCGACGAGTCTGGTCAAAGTTGGACCGTTGACTAGAGTTGACTTTCGTTGACTTTTAGGGTTTGGTCAACAAGTGGACATTTGGACCATTGGAGGGGTAAAATGGTCTTCCCCCCCCCCCCCCTTCTGCGAGATTATAGGAAGGGATTAGTCTAGCCTTTGAGAATCGTTGTTAATTAGAGGTAAATTACTTTATGTGATTAGGCGGAGGCTAGATCAGTATTTCAAGTTCGAGACTTTTCGAGATTACCCGAGGTGAGTCTTCTCACTATACATTACCTAGAGTGGTAACCATGTCCAGACCGGAGGGTCTTATGTGTTATGTGTTTACTTGAGATTATGTGTATTGTGATTATGTATGCCATGTGATATTTAGACCGGACCGGAGGGTCCAACGAGCTACGGGACTGGAGGGTCCCGCTGAGACACATTGACCAGAGGGTCTTATCGAGTTATAGTCTCGAGTGGCTTATGTATTGTATATGGTATTTTTGGGGAACTTACTAAGCATTTATGCTTACCGTGTTATGTGATATGTGTTTCAGGTACTAGCGAGGATCGCGGGAAGGCGCCGACATGATTTGTACACACTGGCAGAGGATTATGTTTTGAGATTCTGGGATATGTTTTATTGGGATGACATTTGATACACATGAGATTTTGAGAATATTATATGAGTTGTATTGTGTTTGAAAAATGAAAAATTGTTTTAAAAATTACGTTGTTACAAGTTGGT